TGCGTTTCTATCAGTCTTCCTACCATTATGACCAAGTTGCGAAAACAAGGTCAAACAACTTCTATATAATGTATATTACTGTTTACCAAAATATTCTAGTTACCTTCAATTTTAGGCATCATCAATTAGAAACGCCAAACAAAATACAATAATTTAATGGAGGTAGTCATAATAAGATATTTGGCCTTTCTTAACCTTGATAGGAGAAATGCTGAGTGCGTAAGTTCAAAATTAAAGTATTTGTTCGATGCTGAAAATTACGAATACTATGGAAAAGGATACAGGGCTAGGTACGTTCCACAGGATCGCCATGACGGTCCGAACAAGTTGCGAAAACGAGTTCAAACCAACATTATACAGCTAAAGAATACTGCGACAAAACAGGAAGTCACACTATATTGGTCTTCATATCTACGATTTAAAATCAAAGGTTTTGCTATAACAAGCGCTTGCGTAATATTATTCAAGAGTTTTACTTTTAATAAACCAAATATAATAGTTATAAATATCAAGGTTATCACTTAATATCACTTTAATTCAAATATTTGCTTAGGTAATCACAGGTGATTGCATATTACAGCCAACTTAGTTAGTAAATTATAATAAGCTTAAACATATACAGAAGAAGTAATTGCACTAGGAGCGAAAAATCGAACAAGGGCTTACATCACTTGCAGCTGTTTACTAGGTATAAGGCCTGCTCTTCCTGCAACCTGATGCTGATGACTACTAGTTAAGATAGAGGGAATATTGCTGCCTGTATTTAATTCAACCTGGTGCAGAGGTATAAAAAGTAGAGATAAGGAAAAAAATGTAAATTTAAATCTGAGACCTTTAATAATGAAAAAGATTTATTCATGAGTTTCCATAGAGATATTAAAAGCTTTCCTAGGTCATTAAATTCTCAATTATTGATTTCTTAGCCAAATTCTGTCTAATTTAGTTGATTGAAAGAATTATAAGACGCAAATTCTTATAATTTTTAAATAAAAAATAGGCACGACTAGGCTTCCTTAAACAAAATTTTATTCAGATAAAAAGTTCACTCTACAGAGGATTTAGTAGTGAAATAAAAAAATTAAAAACATAAACGCTTTTCAAATCTAATTCATAATCAACATATCAGAATATGAATTTTTTAAAACCTTTCGATAGAAATATTAAGCATCTTAATATGAAAAAAAAAGTGTCTTCGGAAAGAAACAATAATAAAATTCATAAGATAAGTATCCGTTTAAGCATTCATGTGCATTAAAAATATTAAAAAAAGGGAGTTATATCGATAGAAGTTATTGTCTTATAAAATTTTAAAAATTTAATTTGGAAACGATTTTTACATAGTATAATCCTAATATTTCCTTAATTTTATATCAATTTTTAAGCAATATAGTTTGGTGAGCAAATTGATAAATAAAAATCAGTAATAAATAGGAAAACTAGAAAGGAGAATATAAAATTGAGATAAAAAGCCAAACTGCACATAAGTAAATAAGTATATAGATAGATAGAAAAGCAAAGTTAATAGACAAGATTGGGAGCTTACCTTAACTGCTTGCCACCAATGTGGATCCTCGGTGTTAACCAGATGTAAAATGTCCCCTTTCAAGAAAGCCATTCCAGCCTCCTGACAAGGCGTGAATTGATCTAATGCAGGACTATAGGAAAACAATGCTCGAACGTAGACCTAAAAAATAAAAATTTGAAACTTAATAAAAGCCACACTTATTGTATGTTTCGGGGTTGACAATCCAGCTAAAATAATAAGCTAAATTCACTTGGTGTGCCTTAGAGTGGCAAATAAATTTCTCAGAATGGAGTGCACATGTCCAGCTATATCACTGATTTACTAAGCGTTACAAATCATGGAAAAGACCGAGTTTCACTAAATGGCAGCTTTAGGTCTATTAATTTAATTGTTATTAATCCAAATATGAATTTTAACAACAAATTAAGTAGCCTATGGCTGCTAAAGTCCTCAATATATTCCATCTTTTTTTTCAGAAATATGGTTTCACGAAAATAATTAGATTAAAAAAAAGAAATTAGTTAAAAAAATATTAAAGTTGTGTTTTTGAGAACTAACCATATTAGGATTACTAGATTTCATTTTACCGCAAGGTGGAAAAATCTTCAGCTTAATATCTCCTGATGCAGTCGTCTACAGGAGTAAAGTAACGATGCTTACAAGCAATGAAAAGATTTTTAAAGGATCCCTAGTAGATATAGATACATAATCAATCTCTTGAATGCTGTCTCCAACTTCGATGGTTGCTGGAAATATTAATTGTAGATGGTAAAACAAATAAAAGAATCTTAGTACCACTTCGATCAGCCGCACCGCCATGCATAACACGAGCAACTGCCAAAGGTTCCGA